GGAGCTTCTGAATCCTTGAGGGAGCGTGTCCAAGTAAGCTGCCCGTTGAAAGACCCACCAGGATCGGTTCACTCAAAGGCGAACATGGGCTGACTCACTGCTGCAACTGGTATGGTGAAGAAGGCATCCTTCAAATAAAACACTGAATAGATTTTTCTCGCAGTTCCTAACTCACTGAGGAGAGTATAAGGGTCAGGTACAGTGTGATGGATAACCTCAACCCGCTTGTTGACCTCTCTCAGATCCTGGACAGGCCTGAACTCATTAGTCCCAGCCTTTGGCACTGGCAGGAATGGTGTGTTCCAAGGAGAATGGCAAGGGACAAGAATCCCCACTTCCCAGAGTCTGCTGATATGCTTAGCAATCCCCAGTCTGGCTTGAAGGCTAATGAGATATTGCCTTATCCTGATTGGGGTAGCTGTGCTAAGCAATTGAATCACCAGAGGTGATTGATGCTGTGCCAGTCCTGGGGGGATAGTTTCTGCCCACACATGGGGTATCTTAATTTTCCAAATTTCTAACAAAGCAGATGAGCCCTTCAGTTGTTCCTCCTCATGGGGCCTTTGTTGCAGGAGATACTCCTCCAATAGAGGACAGGTGACAACAACACTGGGGGGGTTGGAGGGTTAATCCCACTGAATCGCCACCAGAAGTTATTTTAGCCTTGAACTTGTGCAGGAGGTCTCTTCCTAACAAGGGATAGGGGTAGTCTGGTATCAAAAGGAAGGAATGAGTCATAGTTCCCTTGGCCAGGTTGGTTATTTGAGCTCTGGTTTGAGGATAAGACTGATATTTCCCAGTAGCACCTTGAATTGTCAATTTTTTGTCTTCAGGGGTGCCTAAAGGCTCTTTTAATACTGAAATGGCAGCCCCAGTGTCTACCATTAATCTGGTAGGCTTTCCTTCTACCTGCAGAATGACCCTTGGTTCCTGGGGATTGAGGGAAAAATCAAGAACACATCACGCCTCCTTAATAGCCAGAGCAGCCCCTTTTCCTTTGTGGTGCAAGCATTCGCTCTGCCAGTGGCCTTCCTTCTTGCAGTATGCACATTGATTTTTCTTGAGTTTGGGTCTGTCCGACCCATCCTTGTATGGTTTACAAGGGTCCCTCCTGTCTCTCTGAGGCTGTCTAATGTCCCTTCCTAATGAAGCTACTAACACCTTTCCTATTTCTTTTCCTTGCTCTTGAGTGAGGGGGTCTTGGTTAACATAGACTCTCTGGGCTATCTCTACTAACTCAGATATTAACTTTCCTTCAAAACCTTCAAGTTTCTGCAGCTTTTTTCTAATGTCTGGGGCCAATTGAGAGACGAAGGCAATATTTAAGGTCCTTCGATTCTCAGGTGCCTCAGGATCAATAGGAGTATAGAGGTGATAGACTTGATTCAAAGCCTCTCAATGAAAGCAGCTGGAGACTCACCTCACTCCTGGATCGTTTGATTGACCATGGATAGGTTGGTGGGCTTACACACTGCTGCTCTCATTCCCTGTAACAGAGTCTGACGGTACCTGGCAAGGTGATCCCGCCCCTCACAGGTATTGGGGTTCCAGTGTGGTCGAGTGAATGGAAAGACCACTTCAATAACTGCGTGGTCCTGTGATGGGAGGCCGTCAGCCCCCAGGACAGAATGAGCAGCCTCCCGCAGGATTCTAGTTCGCTCTTCAGAAGTGAAGAGTACCTTCAAAAGCTGATGGCAGTCGTCTCAGGTGGTATGATGGGTTATGAAAATAGAACTAAGTAAGTCAATAACTTTGGAGGGATCCTCTGAAAAGGGACGATTCTGAGACTTCCAGTTATAAAGATCTGTTGTAGAGAAAGGGACATAAACAAACATAAATTGCCCTCCTTTGCCATCTTGTCCACGTGCTGTGGTGACCACTCACGGGGGCAAGAAAGCTGGGGGAGCCGAAGAGGTGGGGGCTCCAACTTGAGGATGGGAATCTCTGTGTCTAGTCCCCGTCTGAGTGTGGGAAGGACTCTGTATATAAACACCTAAAGGGGGATCATCCTCAACATTACTACCAGCTACCACCGTCTGTGGAGGGGGTTGCAGGGCCTGAGGCTCTAGGGGGTCCTCAGACTCCTGAAGAACAGGATACAGGTTCCTATGTTTAGAAACAGGAAGGAGAGCAGGGGGTGCTGAGGGATGAGGTCGAGGTGTCTTCTCCACCTGAGGAACCTGTAGACACTGTTGAAGCCAATTTGGGGGCTCATTAAGTAAATCAACCCAAGTAACTATGTAAGGGATTTGATCAGGATGGAGCTGGCTACAGATCCTGTGAACATAAATTACAGTGGTTAGATCATAGGTTCCCTCAGGGGGCCAATTAGTTTCATTAAAGGTGGGCCATAATAGTTCACATAGGGTCTGGAGCCTGGGGGCCTTAACTCAAAAGCCATATCCTCCTGCTCTCTTCCTGAAGTCAGAGAAATTATTCAACATGCACTCCAACAGAGTAGCACTCTTAGACTCAGTCTGACCCATGACAAAAACAGACACCAATCCAAACATAGACTAAGACAGGCACAGACAAATAACACTAACTTGCCACTAAGTCCAAGTTCCAAAAAATGACTGGGCTTTAGACTTAGTTGCCAGGAGGGTCCAGGAGCGTCAGACAAATAACACTAACTTGCCACTAAGTCCAAGTTCCAAAAAATGACTGGAGGACCTCTCCGGGACCTGACTGGGGGAGTTTTGCTGCATCCAGCATCCCACCTAGTGTGTCTAATCAGAACCCAGAACCAGATGGCGACAGATCTCTGGCTAGACAAAACCAGAAGAGAAACCAAAAACGAAAGTGGTTTCTGAAGCTCGCTCTTACCTTGCTAGTGATGTGGAGGGAGAAATCAGAGGGCTGGCTGGAGAAACAGAAGCAGCTGGGACTGATACAGGTCCCCTCTCAGGGAGTTTGCCAATACTGCCGGGCAGCTGAGGCTGATGCAGGTCCCTTCCAGGGGAGTTTCCCAAAACTGCCGGGCCCAGTAGTCCTCTGGATCTTGGTGGTACCTCCAAATGTTATAGGTTGGAGTCCAAATAAAAACCACCAGCACCACTTAATTGAAAGCAGCAAGGTAAAGTTTTATTACAGCTGACTGTGCTATGTCTGGAATAGAAGCAGCCTCGAGCATTAGTCAGCCAGAGTTTTTATAGGATTACAGAAAGCATGGTTCAAACAGAACATCAGTGGGCCAATCATCATGGTTCAAACTCAAGCACATATTTGCATAGGTCAATAAAAGTTTAAATTTATTATCAACCCCCCCAGAGCAAGCAAGCAAGCATGGACAGAAGCAGACGTGGCATTAGGCAGCAGCTTCTCTCATCTCGGCCGGACATGTGGCAGCTTCTAAGAATTCCTGCTCCCCATAGGGTGTAGGCAATTTCAGGGAAACTGGAAAATAACTAGGCCAGGTCACGTAGGATGGTAAGATGGATGTCTTTTAGGCAGGGGCCTGTTACACTTAAATCCCCAATATTTGGTGGACTCCCAGTCCACATCTCAAGATGGGGCTGAAATGAAGTATCAGTTACTAGTTATACAGCATGGCATAGCATTGATGATAGGAGCAGTGAGCTTTAGCAGAAAAAAAGAGTGTTAGAGGAGAAACATTGCAAGGTACACCACTAGTTGTCAGGAGGCAGACCAAGGGTAACTCGTAGCTGGCTAGGCTAAGAGAACATGATAACTTTTTGTACTGTTTCAGTACGAATAAGAGTCTGAAACATGAATTGGAGTTAGAGATTTGTAATTACCAACTTATATATCGTATTTGAATCTGTGAGCATTAAATGAGTTCAGACTGTGAGACTTGGTGAGGGTGAACACAGAAGCTTGTGGAAGCAATTATTTCAAGAATGAGGATGTGACTCAAGGAAAAAAAGTAAATATGTATTTATGTATGTGTATATGTGACATATTTGTTTGTGTGTAAGGGCCTGTGCATGCCATAGCACGCATGTGGAAGTCAGATGACAACCTCAGGTATTAGTCCTCACCTTCCACCTTGTGTTTTTAGGCAGAGTCTCTGGATTGCTGCTCCTCTGTGCACTCCATACTAGCTGGCCTGAGAGCTTCCAGGTGGACACTCCTGTCTCTGCCCCCTATCTTGCAGTGGGAGTGCTGGGATTATGGATAGACACCACCCATCCAGCTTTTACATGGCTTTGGGTACCTGAATTCAGGTTATGAAGCTTGGTGGCAAGTGCTTTTACCCACTAAGCCATCTTCCCAGCCCCATGATGTACTTGTAAACGGAAGATATGGGAAGAAAGTAAAAAAAAAAAAAGAAAAAGAAAAAAGAATGTCCTTGAACTTGGCAAATTGCTAAGGCCATTAGAAATCTTAGGAACAGCAGACTTGATGCAGTGGTGAGCTAATAGTTAAATAGTTTTTTTAGAGTATCTTAAGTACCTACCCTGCCCCTTCTTCCAAAAAAAAAAAAGTGCTATTAAAGTCAGAGGTAATTGGTTACCTTATAGAGTAGCTATTATTACCTTGGAGCTCACCTCTGGAGCAGGCGCTATAGCTGAGGAGCAAAAAGAGTAAAAACAAAGGCGTGGTTTGTGATGGATGTAATGCTTTAGGGCCATGGGGACTGGCGGTAACCTGTAGGCCTAGTAAGGTACCAAGTGGGCAGCACTTGTCCTTTCTGCTGGAAGTGCATTGAATATGTGAGCAATGAGACAACAATGGAGATTAAGTAATTCTTTTTTTAAAAAAATGGATAAAAATACATGAAAGTGTAGAAGATAATTAAGATATGGAAGATGTGGATATTTCTAATCAAACAAGAAGGAATGATTAGGGACAAATACAAGAGAGAAGAACTGAGCAGCAATGTTTGTCGCAAATGACGTTGGATTCAGAGCATGGAATTAAAAATTTGATCAAACTAAACAGATAGTATCAGAGCCTTTGGCACTGGAAGAAAGAAGAGTCGCTTCTGTTGTAATAAGGCTATATGGGTGTTGTATTTTTTCTTTGCTTTGCTATAGGTCCTGAAGCTGTGCCTCCTTCCCTTCTCAAAGTAGTGATGAAACCCATTGCAGCAGTTGGAGAAAGCTACCAGTATCCTCCTGTGAACTGGGCTGCACTCCTCTCTCCACTAATGAGGCTAAACTTTGGTAAATATCAAGTGTTTTTAGGTCTTCCTTTTAGGATTTAACCTAAATGAAAAAACAGATTTTGTGTCACAGTTGACAGTAACTGGTAGATTTATTGGGTCTTGAGGGTTGTCGTCTTGGATTCAGTAGCTGAGTTACTTTCACTGAGTTAGTGAGTCCTTGTATGATGAGGAGGAAGAGGTCAAAAAGCATAGACCAAATATAGTCCTAAAACCACCTTGAGGGACCAGGGAGATTTGCTCAGTCAGTAAAGTTTTTGCTGTGTAAGTATGAGGACCTGAGTTAGATCTCTGGCACCCACATTTAAAACAAGCAAACAAACCAAAAGGTGCAGTGACTCATGCCTGTAATCACACTGCTAGGGAGCATAGTCAGGAAGCTCGCAGAGGCTTACTGGCCAGCCAGCCTAGCCAAATCAGGGAGCTCCAGGTTCAGTGAGAGACCCTGTCTCAAAAAGTAAGGTGAAAAGGACTGGATAGATAGCTCAGTGGGTAAGAGTACTGGCTGCTCTTCCACAAGATCCAAGTTCATTCCTAGCACCCAAATAGTGACTAATGACTGTTATTAACTCCAGTTCCAGGGCATCCAGTGCCCTCTTCTGGCCTCTGCTGGCACTGTACATATATGGTACACTTACATGCTGGCAAAACACTCATTACATGTAAAATAAAAATAAATGTGACCCCTGAGGAACAGATCCTCAAATGACCTTAAGAGTAAAAATGAATCGGTTTTATCTGGACCAACTGTATGGTCTTAAATACCCAAAAGGAAAGTAATAACCAAAGATTAAATGGGACAACATAATTTCATAAGAGTCCATACGTATAGCTAAAGGCTACATAACAAGCAACAATGCCAGACAGGCGATACCTTCTTTTGAGTTGTTGGCCAGGATGGCCAAATGGATTCCCAGACAGTAACACAGCATAGAACTGGGAAAATGAACAGCAGACCCCAATCTTATCCAAAGGAATATTGACAACTGATTACCGCTAGATGAGGAACAGCTGACCCTCCTAAAACAAAGACCTCTAGATAGGCTGACTAGATTCACCAGAAGGGCAAGTAGTGGGGAATGGCTGGGGGTGCCAACAACACAGCAGACAGTAGCACGGATAGCAAAGTATAAGGGCTGTAGTGGGGGGAGGAGGGAGGCTATGGGAGGGTGCTATATGTAGCTCCCAAAGACAACCTTGTGGTGACTTCTCCCTTTTAAATGGCTCCACTAGTAAAATGCTTGAGGTCAGACCCTTACCTTGATCCCCAGCACGTGCTATCTGAGAAGTGGGTGTAAAAATAAATAAATAAATTTTTAAAAAATAAATAAACATTATTAAAATTTTAAAAATTAAGGTATAGAGCATTGAAGAAGAAACCACATGTCACCCTCTGGCTATCATCACCTACAAATGTAAATTCACGTCCTTAACTCTTGTATCAATGGGGCAAATGAGGGAGGAAGGAGCTCAAGTGTTATCCTAATGAGAAAGTCCAGAGGTTTTATTTGAAGGCTATATTCTCCTGTCCCTTCCCTGCTTTTGTATGCTATACTTGTGTTTTAGTTAAATCCTTAGGGAAAAAAAAAAAAAAAGGAGAAAAGGTGTAGGTGAGAAAAAAGTTCACTGATGGGAATCAGTGTCTTTACCTAGTCACTATACATGGTGGCTGTACCCTCCTTCATAAGGCATTCCATGCAGATTTCTGTTTGTGATAAACATACTGAAGAAGAGGGAAAAATTGGCACTGAGAGATTTTTTAGGTAGAATTTCTCATATTTCTTACAGTGTTTAAGTGTCCTGATTTTTCTAAATATTGTCAAAGAAATTTTCCCAGGTAATTTAAGATCCTTGACAGTTCCAAGACTTAGATGCTTTATCTCCTTGCTCAAAAGTTTTCAAAATACCAATTGGTTTAATGAACTCTATTATCTGTAGAAGTAATCCAAATAGGTGCATTGATTCTTACATCAAAGCCTGAAAATGAGTCAGAGAACTGAGTAGCTACATTTCAGAAATTCTTTTCCTCCTTCTCTTTCAGGTGAGGAGATACAGCAGCTGTGCTTTGAAATTGTTGTCACTCAGGCACAGTCATCGCAGAATGCAGCTGCACTGCTGGGCTTGTGGGTGATGCCACCACTGATCCACAGTCTGAGTGTATGTAGTTGTTTGGGGTGTTGAGCTGCAGGAGGAGAGGGTTCTTTTGGAGGTGTGTTCTCTGAGTCCAGAGTAGAAAAATGAAATTTACTAAAACTAAAAACTGATTCTAACTGGCCAACATATCAGAAGATAATACGGTTACAACGTCACCATTGCTCCTCTGTAAGGTTTTAGCTGATGTTATTCCAAAGGGGAAAATGGAGATCAGAGGTATTCAAGTTCCCTTTTCAACATCAATTACAACTAGAAATTTGGGAAGCTATTTGAAGGAAGGTTTGTTTGATTCTATAGTATAGGCATTTCCACGGATATTAAGAGAAAGACAATCTACTGGTACTGGGGTCCTCTTAAGTATCCCTCTGTTTCCCAGAGTAGGCAGTAACTAAGGTGAACCTTGAAAGTCTGGTAGGATTTGAATAGGTGTCAAGTCAGAGGCGTGGGGGAGGTATGTGGAAGGAGTGAACATCTCTGCTTGAGTGTTGAGCTTGAACAAATGGCTGGGATGGAATTGACTCTTTGTGGTATTTGTTACCAAAGGTACATAAGACTAGAGTAAGAATGTTTAAAGACTTTTAGTAAGAGATGCGAATTTTGTATCAAGCTGGGAAAGAAAATATATTTCACAATTCCTTGACGTCTAGTACATGATTCTCATGTTTGATTCCCTCCATAATCTGGCTCTAGTTTTTGACAGTAATGCAAAGTCCTCTTCTTTCCTCAATCTCTTGGATTTAGTCCCAACTCTACATCGTTTCTCCTTTTCTGGCCTTTCCCACTCTTCTAATGGTCTTTAGTTGAAGATGCATGCCATTGAAGTCTGTCATATTTCTCGCCACTACCCCACCTATCCACAGCAAGTAACTTCCATCCAGTTGCCATTTACTGATCACTTGCTATGAACCTGGTACCTACTAGCAGTCAATCAGTTCTACAGACATCAGATTTAATCACTACATCTCTGGCAGCTCATTAAAAAATACCTTTACTGAGTTGTAATTTATATATCCTAAAAGTGCCCCCCCTCCTTTTTTTTGGTCTTTCTGAGAGAGGGTCTCCCTGTAGCCCCAGCTGTCCTGGAACTCACTATGTAGACCAGGCTGGCCTTGAACTCACAGAGATTTGCCTGCCTCTGCCTCCTGAGTGCTGGGATTAAAGGTGTGTGTCACCATGCCTGGCTTTTAAAATTATTTTTATTTTATGTGTATGCACATATTGCCTGCATGTAGGTAAGTGCACTTGTGTCATGCAATGCCCACAGAGGACAGAAGAGGCTGTCAGATCCCCTGGGACTGGAGTTATAGACAGTTGTTAGTGGCCATTTTAAGCATAAACTTTGGTGCATTTTAGTACATTTATGTTTATAGTTATCACCAAGAATATTTATACCACTCAACACAAATCCCATTGAGCCTATTTTTTAGTCAATCTCTACTTCCCAACCACAGACCCAGGCCACCAGAAATGTACTGTCTATAATTTTGCCTCTCTGTGTGTATGTGTGGTACGTATGTGTGTACATGTTTATGTGTGTGCACATGAGTATGTGCAAGTGCACGTGTGTGGCTTTGAGCAGAGGTCAGAGAGCGCTCAGTGCTCTGTTGCCTCAGTTGCCCTCCTCTTATTTTTTGAGACAGGGTCTCTCACTGAACCGAGGTTCTAAGAACTCACTGGTTCCAATTGATTAGAAAGCCCCAAGGATCTTCCTGTCTGTGCCTCCTTGGCACTGGGATTACATGGGATTGCCATGTTCAGAGTTTTTACATGGTACTAGAGATTGAAGTCAGATCTTCATGATTGGAAGACAGATACTTTACCAACTGATCCATCTCCCAACCCCTAATTTTATCTTAAAAAAAAACTTTTATATAAATTTAAGCTGTGTGTAAATTTTAGAAATTCTATAACATAGAATTATAATCTAAAGTTCTTGAATCTGGTATTTACTTCTAAGAAATATATTTTATTACTTCAATAAATATTTAATATATAATATCAATAAACTAAGATGTGTGAGACTCAAGCAGTTTGCATACTGGATACCTGGGAAGCCAGCGTCTGCTGAGTCATAAGCCCTGTGTCTTGGACTCTTTGTTTCCTGTTGAATCTGGTATCTGACAGCCTATTGTGTTGTTAGAAGTTTCTCTACATTTTAGGCCTTCTGTTCCTGATTTAGACCTATGCAACCACCTTTGGCTGTGGATCTTCATTTTCATTGTTGTTAACTATGAATTGTTGTTTATGAATTTATTTTTTTACAAAAGGTTTTGAGCTGGCATATATTTTAAAATGAGCTCATTAGGGACTAGAGAGATGGCTTAGAGGTTAAAAGCTTTTACTACTTTTCCAGAGGACCCAGTTATATTCCCAGCATCCACATGGCAGTTAACATCCAGCTTTAACTCCAGTTCCAAGGAGATCCAGTGTTCTTTTCTGACCTCCTTGAGTGCCTGGCATCCATGTACTGCACTTCTGTACATGCAGGAAAAACACTCATACACAGAAAATAAAAATAAATAATTGAAAAAAAATGAACTCTTTAGAAAATTCATGCCAACCTTCATTGACCTTTTGGAAAGTAACTGATTTTATTGTCGGATTTTATTTTAGACTTTTCTAGCCCACTTCTTTTAGACTTGCTTCCTGTTAGTATCAAACTTGTATTTCTACGGTGCTTTGAAGTGCACTGTCTTCGAGTCTGTGCCATATAACAGAAGTAATGCGAGTCCTGTGGCATCTCGGTTCTCAGGAACTCCCTCCGAGATGCCTTGGTCAGGCCTACCTGCTTAGCAGGCTGCTCTTTGATCAGAAAGGGCTCCAGCATGCCAGTTCCCTTTATGATTTCCTTCTTCTTTCTCAGGAGAAGCTAATAATATCAGATGTTCTGTTTAACTGATTTTCAGCAGGTGAGCTCTTCACCTTCCCCCTCCACATGCATGTGCACACACTTGCATATGCACCTGCACAAACGTACATGAACTGCACATACACACACCCCACACAAAAAAAACAACCAGAAAACCTGATTATCAACTGTGACATTCTTTCAGAGGTAGCATTTGATTCCCATCTCTGAAAAGATCTAGGTTTAGGCAGAATTTCTGAATGGATTGGCCACATTTCTTGTTGGAGAATGTTTTTAAAACTGAATTATAGGGGCTGGGGAAGATGACTCAGTGAAGCACTTGCTATGCAAGCATGAAGATCTGAGTTTGAATCCCCATATAAAAGCGTAGTGTGCTGTGTTTGTAACACCAGTGCTGGGGAAGTGGAAACAGGGTTTCCAAGAAGCTTATTGGCCAGCCAGCCTATCCAGTTAATGACCTCTGGGTTCAGTGAGAGACCCTGTCTCAAAAAATAAGTAGGGGCTGGAGAGATGACTCAGTGTTTAAGAGCACCAGCTAGTCTTAAAGTGGACCCGGGTTCAGGTCCCAGCACCCACACTGTAGCTTATAACTATCCTTAACTCCATTTCCATGGCCTCTTTTGGCCTCCATGGGCATTGTATGCACATGGTGAATTCACATACATGTGGGAGAAATACTCATACACATAAAATAAAAATAATCAGAATTTAAAGAAAAAAAGCAATTGGAGAAGACATCTGAAGTCATCCTCTAGTCCCCACCCTCATGCATGTGCACACACTTGCACCCTCACACATGCACACACACACATCCACATCACAAAAGCCAAACAACAGTTAAAAAACCTGAATAGCAATTTGATGTACTTTCAGAAGGAGCATTTTATTCCCATCTCTGAAAAGATTTAAGCTTAACAGTTGATTGAATGGATTGACAGATCCCAAGTTGTCACCCTGGATCAGCAGTAACTGCATTAGCAAAAAAGACATGTATTGGTGATCCTTTAGACCATGAAGACATGGCAAAATAAGAGAAAAGGAAGTAACCTACACCTTTTATCTGTTTGTCATCCTTCAACTCAGCGATGACCTATAGGCTTCGAGCACCTCAAACCCAGACTTACCTGTTTATATCTGGTATCTTCCATTTTACTTCCAGCAAAATATCAAGAAATACCTCCTGGTATCTGTGCCTCTGTGGATAAAACATGTCTCTGATGAACAGATCCAAGGTTTTATTGAAAACTTAATGGTGGCCATTTTTAAAGCAGCTTCCCCACCTGGCAGCCCTGAGTTGTGTTCAAGTGCCTTACAGGGTCTGAGCCAAGCCATGAAACTGCCCAGCCCGTCCCACCACCTCTGGACTTTGCTCTGTGATGCTACTGGGAAAATTTTTGACCTTCTGCCAAATAAGATTCAGGTGAGGAACAAAAATATTTACATTCCTGGCAGTTTGTGCTTGAAAGTCATTCTGGCAAATCGAGCTAGGGAATGCTTTAAGAATGTGGGTGGGAAGGCCAGCAAGAAATAACCACATTCTTCACTAGAAGTGTGTTTGGTTCCAAGATCTAAATTGAAGTTGAGTATTTAAAGCCAAAGTTCTGAGCAAGCTTAGAGGCAGGTAACCAGTGCTGCACCAGGAAACTCACTATGTGGCACCTTCTACAGGATGTGTATCAAAGATGAGCAAGCACCTAAATCTGTGCCCTGGGAACACTGGCCACATTGTCTCGTATGTGGTTTCTATTAAATGCTCTCATGTCACCCCTTCCCCCTCTCACATCAGACTTCTGCACTGGAGTTTTGCAAAGTAGTTAAAAATCTTCTTAGAACAGTGGGAATTCTGACAAGGAGAAAATAGTACAGCCAAACAAATACACAAAGCAATGGAAAAGAAACATTTGACAATGTTCTTACAATGTTAGAAACTGACCATATGTTTTTGTTTGGTTAAGATTAAAATCTCATCAGCAACTGTTCTCAGAGATGTCTAATTCATGAAAATATCACTAGACTTAATTTTTAAATCTTACATTGTATTTTGACATGCTTGAGATTTTTCTTTGACAGAGAAGTGACCTAGAACTGTACATCAGTGTGGCCAAGTGCCTCTCCGAAATGACAGATGATGGTGCCAATCAGGTTTTCCAGATCACTAAGGTAACATATTCATATATCTTTTCATTTTTGAGGCAGAAATTATAGAACTGTTTATACTGTCGTTTTGGGTGAGCTGGTTTTGTATTATATTATTTATTACTGGTTAGTTTTAGGGAACTGATTGTCTCTTCTGTCAGGACTAGTGACCAGCCTACTAGTGTGAATGGTACTTAATACATGCTGTTTAGATAGGTAGATGGTTGAATAACTTTTTAACCCAAGTTTTTGTACTTTGTCAAAAACACTTTTGTTATCACCTAGAGGCAAAGATAAGTTCAGTTAAGAGTCAGAATGCAATGCACACAGAAGGTCACAACTGGCCAAGTTTTGGAGAATAAGAGGCTGTAGAGTGTATGATGGGACTCCTGTATGGAACCTGCCCACCCACATCTCAGGGACCATTGTGGAAGAGGAGGTGGAAAGACTGTAAGAGCCAGGGCTGGTTCATGAACACAGGGAGGTGGAGGCTTCCAGGCCACTGAAGGCTTGCTCATGTGAGCCTGCAGCAGTGGTGTCATCAAGTGTGGGCACCCATGTCAGTGCAATTATACAAGGGCCCAAAGGGGAGGTGAGAAATAGGTGGTGGGCCAGCACTAGATTAAGAACTATTTGAGACTGATTGCTGCTGGGTGAGGGAGAGTATGACTTACATATGACCACTGGATGGGCTGACTAGACTCCAGTGGACACATTTACACTGAAGGACATTTGGGTACAAACTCCTGAATGAATAGGACTCAGCATATATGGCAGCGTGCATAGGGTTTGGTGGGGGGATGGGGAGAGGCATGGATGGGGAGGGGGTCTGGATTTGAGTGAGAAATGTATGAAATTTTTAAAAAGCTCAATAGAAATAATTTAAAAATCTCTTCAAGGTATACCCATAAGAATGGGAATATTCTAATCAAAGAACTTGCTGATGTATTGAGGGCATACATATAATCCTGTCTAGAATTGGGTTTCTTGGACCTGACATTATATTTTTTAATGCAGAAGGGTGGTCATTTGAAAAGCAGGCACTACTAACCCTGAAGCAGGATAATTAACAAGTAACCCCCATATAGAGTCATTAATTTTTAGCATAAATACCTCCCAATTGGCCTACTTGCTTGAATATAACCTTGTATTCAGCTAGTACTACCCTCATCCCCAATAACTACTGTACATCTTGCCAGGTTGGCTTATTCAGTTGGATCCTTGAATTTCTGCATCACATAGCAGCATGGTTCCTGGACTAGTGATATCAGTACTGCCTGACAACTGATCAGAAAGGAGGTGAATTCTTAGGCCTCGTGACTGTAGTGCCCAGTAGTATGTTTTAGCACTTTCTCCATCTAGGGGATTCTGTTCCAACCCAAGGCTGAGAACCACTGTTACAGAGTGTTTGGAATACCGGCATTTCAGAGATTAGCTTGTTGTAAACAGAGAGAAGGAATTCAGGGAAGTGGTAAGAGGAGGGAGTCTAGAGCCTCACTGGTCTGTGTGAGGTTCAGATCTGCAGCATGTGAGCAGTGAAGTGTAACCTGTTCCTGCCTTAGTTTCCCCTTCTGTAAAATGAAGATAATAGCACCTACCTCTTAGGGTTGTCTTGAGAGTTAAATGACTTACTCCATGCTAAGTACTTTCATCAGTGTCTGACTTAAAGCAAAACTCACTCATTATTTATTACCATAATTGTTGCACTCATGTAACTAAGTATATTCTTTTATTACCTTCACATAATGTAGATGGAAATAAATCATCTAATTTATTTTTTGGCACCTAGAGCTAATGGTCGCTGTGCTGTTCATTGGGTTCCAAGACACTATAACAGAGCCCAATAAGCATGTTCTGATGTCCCCCTCTCAGAAATGACAGATGATGTTGTTAGTCTGTTCTGCAAAGTCAGTTTTCTATTCATTTCTTGGAAAGCATAGTGGTTAAAGTGGTAGTGAAGAACACAACTCTGGGTTCTGATATTCTGTGTGATCTCTGTAATCTCTGTAATCCAGAATGAGATCTAAGCAATTTACTTAACCTCTATATTTTGTTTTCTTCATCTGCAAAGAGCTAATAACAGTGATGTATTGCCAAGGGAGTAGTTATAGTTCTCAAATTTAAGGTTTCAGGAACATGTTAATTTCTTAACTATTGGAGATTCTAAAGAACTTTTACTTATATGGGTTGTATTTATTATTAAAAATTAGAAAATTTAAATATGTACTAAAATATGTACTCATTTTAACACAATAATAAAAAATATTTTATAGCACATATACAAAAGAATGAGAAAAGTGATATTACTTAACATTTTTGCAAAATTCTGTAATTGCCTGGCTTAGAAGGCAGCTGGATTCTTGTGGCTGGAACAGTGTTTGGTGAAGTATGTGAAAAAATCCCAACCTTATATAAATGTGTAACTGGGGAGAGAAAGAAGGCATATCACAGTCTTCTTGATAATTATGGACATTCTTCCTTGTTATCACACCAAAAGTCAACAACTGGTAGTTTCTTCAAGGTTATTTGTAATATAGAATCCAAAACCATGCCAAAGAAATTTATCTGTTTTGTGACATTAAAATCCATTGGTCTGTTTTGAATGTTAACTCTTTCATACAAACATTTTTTGAAACTGTTAGATCACTGAATTTTAAGGATCTTCCAAATGCTAATACATTTCATTATATAATATTAAAACATCATATGTATTCTTATTCTCAGAAATCTTATCAGAAAATTACTTTTGGAAGTCATCCAGCTCAAAGTAGCAAATAAAAATTTTCTGAAAACCTAGTTGGGCGTGGTGGCACACACCTGTAGTCCCAGCACTTGGGAGGTAGAGGCAGGGGGATCTCTGTGAGTTCAAGGCCAGCTTGGTCTAATAGTGAGTTCCAGGCCAGCTGGGGCTACAGGGAGACCCTGTTTCAAAAAAGACCAAAAAAAATTCATTAAAGGGCTCAAATTTAATTATTGGCAACAAATATTATCAGATATTTTTCATAATATGACAGGCTTACTTCCTTAAATTTTTAATAAAATAATCTTATAAATAGGCCATTGAAACAGCTATAGTTTGTCTATTATTCTTTCAAATGAACAGTGTTCTATGAGTAGACTGGCTTTCTTAGCTCACAACTCAATCTTTTTTTAAAAAAAATTTTATTTTCTTATTTTATGTGTATGAGTATATTGCCTGCATGTCTATAAGTGCATCTCTGTCGTGCAGTGCCTGCAGAGGTCAGAAGAGGGTGTCAGATACCCTGGAACTGGAGTTATGGACAGTTGTTAACTGCCATGTGGGTGCTGGGAATCGAACCTGGCTCCTCTGCAAAAGCAGTCAGTGCTCTTAATCTCTGAGCCATCTTTCCAATCCCACAACCTGGCCTTTACCAGTATTTTTCTTCGACACAATCATCACATTGGGGTATACAGAAGTCCCTTATACATATTCCTCAGGTTGTAACATAGAATATTGAATATATGGAATATACACTCAAGAGCCAAGGTTTAATGAAATCTAACAATTTTTATTGTTTGCAGTAGTAGTTTATGTGAAACTGGCTTTTAAAAAAATTCTGAGTGGCAGTAAAAATGAAAGCAGTTTTAAGCGAGGCATGGTGGTGCTTTTCTCTAATCTCAACCTTCAGGGAGGCAGAAGCTTGTGGATCTGTTCAAGTTCAAGACCAGCTTGATCTTCAGGCCACCCAGGGCTACATAGTGAGACCCTGCCTCAAAACAGCAATAACAACAAAAAAAATAGTTTTGACTTCACAGAACCTTGCAAAGGATCTTGGGATCCCCAGAAGTCTGCATACCACATTCTGAAAACATTAAGTATTTAGAATGGTGTGTGAAATATGCTAAAGTATGGCATCTGTTATATCATTTTTTAATATTTTCTTTATTATTTTTATTTTATGTGTACGACTATTGCCTGCATGTATGTGAGTGCACCCGTGTTGTGCAATGCCACAGAGGTCAGAAGAAGGCTTCAGATTCCCCTGGGCGGTTCGTAGCCGCCATATGGGTGCTGGAAATTGAACCCGGGTCCTCTGCAAGAACAGTCAGTGCTCTTACCTGCTGAGCCATCTCTCCAGCCCCAGGATCTGTTATATTATTATTTGTGTGTGCTTACCTTCTAACCTCTGAACACATTCATAGATTTTATTAAAAAAAAAAAAAACCAGAATGTGATATTGCAATCCTTTGTTGCATGTGCGTAAGTGCATTTTGATGTAATTCACAGGCAGATAGGTTCCTGGCCACAGGAAATGAACAGCTTTAGCATCTGGGATAATAGTACCCGTCTAACTCAAATCTTTCTGTCTGCCCTTCCCTCGAAGTTCTGTTGACCCTTCAGTTTGCTTAATAATGATTAAACAATTGGCTTTTTTTGTTTGTTTTAGAACAACATAGAAAAGGCTGCCTTTGTCAAGCTGTACTTAGTCTCTCAAGGACGATTCCCCTTGATGAGCCTCACTGATCTGCTCACTGCAGTTGTGCAGCACCACGAGAAAGAGACTGTGGCCTGGATGATGCTGCATAGCTTATACCAGGCACGCATTGTGAGCCATGCCGACACAGGTGAGGTCTGGTGCGGCGAACACCAGGGACAGAAGTACACATCTGCTGTCTACTGTAGGTTGTGTGTGCCTTCTCAACTTCAAAGCTAGTTTGTTGCTTGCTGACACAGGTTAGGTCTTACCACAGAGGAAGAGTGCCTTGGATGGAAGTGATAAGTTGTAGCTCACATCATCCATTCCCTGGATACAGGAATGAATTCTTTCCAGGGTTTTCATATTATGTTTGTTCTTCTAGGACCTTCGAGGATACAACATGAGGTTGCTTCTCTCAGTTTCAGTTTAGTTTTTTAAATACACAAAGTAGAAATTGATTCTCCCTGATGATGCAATGAAAATGGTTTTGCAGTAGTCGTTTTATAAACAGTAAAAAGGAAAACAGAAACAACACAGGAATGAATTCTTTCCAGGGTTTTCATATTATGTTTGTTCTTCTAGGACCTTCGAGGATACAACATGAGGTTGCTTCTCTCAGTTTCAGTTTAGTTTTTTAAATACACAAAGTAGAAATTGATTCTCCCTGATGATGCAATGAAAATGGTTTTGCAGTAGTCGTTTTATAAACAGTAAAAAGGAAAACAGAAACAACAAAATTAGTAAATCTGAAAGAAGACTTTTTTTTTTTTTTTTTTGAGACAGAGTCTCAATGGATAGCCCTAGTTAGCCTGGAACTCATTATGTAGAACAGGTTGGGAACTCACGGAAATCTGCCTGCCTATGCCTCCTTGTTGTGGGGATTAAAGATGTATACCACCACACCTGGTGTCTTTGATTTTTAGATCATTTTACATACGCTTTAAGAATCCCTTGAAAATTAAGCTTTCTCATGATTTCTTTGATCTTTTTGGCTATGTGCTTATTAAGTACAATTGATAAATTGCAATTAAGGCAGTTTTCTTATATTTGCCTTAGTGCCATCCCACTGAAAAGTGACCCTGTGATAAGAAACTTAATTC